ACCACCCTGCAAAGCTGCCTCGGGGGGGCTGGTTGTTCCTCGCACAGACAATGCCTGGCACGAGGGAGACCTCCGGCGGAGGGGCCTGAAGTTCGCTGCTGGATTCTCACTCCCCCAAGCCAATGCCCTCCAGCCATCCTGGCATCTCTGGCCCTCAGAACTGCCTCTGGGATTGCTTGCCATCGGAATTCCTTAGGGAAGGAGCAATATTTTATTACCCAGCAAAGCCCGTTGCCTGCAGGACCTTCCCAGCGAGTGACATGGGTGCCCGACGCCCCACCTGGTGCCCTCGCCGCTGCCGGGGCACAGTGCTGCCCGCAGGTTTTTGGGCTGGATTGGCTGCCTGCAGGCAGATCTCCCTGAGGATCTGGGACAGGCAGGGTTCCCTCAGGGCCATGGGGGCTGTTGCTTCCCTGCAAGTGCCCTAACTCTCCTTTCGGTGTCCCAGCTATTATTTTCCAGCGCATTAGCTGGATTAATCCATTGCGGTTTACACAGGAGATCGTGACTGGAAGGAATAAATTATGGTATTTTATGACCAAATACTTTGCCTGAAGCCGACAGTTGCTGGCTTTTAGTGCTGACTTTTATTGTACGATACTGCCAGATCTGAAAAGCCTGTACAATTAATTTCTCCAAGCACTGGAAACCTCTTTTCCAGCAAACTTTGTAGAGTTTAGAAAGAGCCTGCTTGCTTTGAAGGGCCGGAGGTTTGCTCAGGGTAAACGCTTCACGGGCAGGACGTGGCAGTCAAGCCCAGTGGTGGTGTTTTAATTAAGATGTTGAATTCCAAGTGGTGGTTGTAACGTTGGATTTTCACATTCCCGGTCCCTTCTGCTTTGGCAGATTTCCAGTCGTGTCTGATATGCATCGCGAGACGATTACCTCGACCGACGGCCGTCACCCCTTCTGAATCCTTCGTGACCAAGCAAGACACCACAGGTAACGTCCCAGCGATGCCGGGGAGTCCCGGCTCCGGGGGATTTGTTGTCCCTGGGGGTCAGTGGTGTTGTGCAGGACCCCATACCACAAGCATGGTCCTGACCTTTGCAAACGCAGCGCTGCTGGGACCGATGGGGTTGACACCTCAACTGGAGGCATCTCAACTGAGTTTAGACCTCAGCTGATCCCGCACACCAGACCCATGCCCGGCACACAGCCCCTCTCTGCTCCGCCGGCGTTCAGGAGCTGCTGAGGTGGCTGATTGTGGGAATGAAACAGTCGTCACCTTTTGGATTCGGGTTTGCTCTCGGCCAATTACTGCTTTCTAGCCGTTCCGATGACCTTTTTCTGGTGGTTAATCATCACCCTGGACTTGCCTGCAGCCTGAAAATCCTTAACGAGTGTTTTCTCTGCTCGCTGCTCTCTGCCCGTGGCTGTAAAGCAGCCAGCAAAGCTGCCTGGTGTCCCATGTCGAGGGAGAAAGCAGGTGGCAAATCCTGCTTGGAGAATCCTTGGATGTGAACAAGGTGGCTGGCAGGGTGTCCCCCTGAGTGAGGGTGTGAATCTGGGGACCCCAGCCCTGGAGGGGTGAGGGTTCCTTCGCACCAAGGTGCCTCTTGCTGGGTTTTGTGTCCACTTGGGTGGCCGAGTGCATGCTCAGGAGCAAACTCCTTGGACTTCCGTCCCCTCCCGGAGGACATCATCCCGAAGATGATCAGAGGGCTGGAGCACCTCTCCTATGATGAAAGGCTGCGAGAACTGGGCTTGTTCAGCCTGGAGAAGAGGAGGCTCCGAGGAGACCTCATTGCAGCTTTCCAGTATCTGAAGGGGCTACAAGGGTGCTGGGAGAGGACTTTTTACAAGAGCCTGTAGTGACAGGACAAGGGGTAATGGGTACAAATTGAAATCAGGGAGGTTTAGATTAGATGTCAGGAAAAAATTCTTCCCGGAGAGGGTGGGGAGGCCCTGGAACAGGTTGCCCAGAGATGTTGTGGATGCCCCATCCCTGGATGTCTTCAAGGCCAGGCTGGATGAGGCTTTGAGCAACCTGGTCTAGTGGAAGGTGTCCCTGCCCATGGCAGGGGGGTTGGAACTAGATGATCTTTAAGGTCCCTTCCAACCCAAACCATTCTGTGATTCTATGATTCTATGACATCCTTGTGTGCTCCTGACGCTGAACAGGACGTGGCTTCATTTTCCACATCTGCAGACCTGTTTGTGGGGGTGTTAGAGCTGAGGGACATCCCGTGCCGTGCTGGAATAAGGTGGCTTCTCTCTCTCTACCCAGGTAAAATCATCTCCATTGACACCAGCTCCCTGAGAGCCGCCGGCAGGACGGGCTGGGAGGATTTGGTTCGGAAATGCATCTACGCTTTCTTCCAGCCCCAGGGCAGAGAGCCTTCTTACGCCAAACAGCTCTTTCAAGAAGGTAACTGGGCTCCTCTTCCTGGCTGGCGCGCTCTCCGGCCGAGCAGCGGGAGCTGCAGGGAGAAGCCGGGGCACAGTCCGGGCACGATAAATACTTTCTGGATAAACAGATGCTGCAATAACGTGTCGAAGGGAGAGGAGAAGGGGCTGAGTAACGCTGGAGGAGCTCCTCCAGCCAGGAGGTCCCCTCTCACCCTCCAGGAAACACACAATTGAGACAAATATAAATTAAATATGATTGTTTTAATGTTGTTTTCCTTTGCCATCCGCAAACGGCATCCCCAGTGTCCGAGCAGAAGAAGTGGAAGCTCTTTCATGAGCATCTTTGCCAGGCTGGTGAGGAGGCTCACAACAGGGATGTGGGGAAGGCAGGACGTAGGAGCAGGAGGTCACTGAGCCTCCAGAGAGCTGTAACTCTGCCAGGGTTGCAGCAGTGGCGTCACGGCCTGGCTGGGCTCCATCAGCTCAGACGTTCTACGCTGGTGATTGAGCGACGGCCCCTTTGGAAGCTCTGAGCACTCGGGGCTGGTGCTGGATGGATTTAGATTTACCCACTGCAGGACACGGGTTTGGAGCTGGAGAAGCAGCTGGGGGGATTCTGTGCCACCGTGGTTATTCATAACCCTCTTACCTTCTGGGTCTGTGGGGTTAGCCAACACGCAGCACGTGGTTTTGTTTGTTGGGAGTGTGGTCGTCCCAGGCAGGTTCTCCCTCTCCTCTGCTCCCTCCATCCTCCTCCTGGTTCCTGTAGAGTGTTGCAGGTTCTGGCTTGAGTTTCTAAGGGGTTTCTTGTGTTTCTGGTTTTCTCCTTCAGTGATGACACGCGGCACGGCCTTCAGCCCCTCGTACCGATTTACCCTGAGCGACGGGACGGTGCTTAGTGCCCACACCAAGTGTAAGCTCTGCTGCTCCTCCGGCCCGGAGATACAGACCTTCATCATGGGCATCCACGTCATCGACAGGTACGTCCCCGTCCGGACACTCCTGAGCCATACCAGTGCCCAGGTGGGCAATCCAGGGATCAAAGTGCCCATTCCCTACCGTGGAAGGAGGATCCACTGGTGATGCTGGTTTGGAGATGTGATCCCCATGGGGGATCTGAAGCTGAAAACCAGCATGGTGGCAGCTCTTGATCATTCTTGTTCCGCAAAGAAGCGGTCCTGGGAGTTCAGGTGGAGGTTTATAGATGTGTTTTCTGCCTTGCGCTGGAGAACTTGAAATATTTGGGGAAGGAAAGGCTCTGACAAACCGGCAGGACAGGGAGGGATGAGGCTGTGGACCTGGGCTGTGGAGAAATGCGAGGGGGCTGGGAAACGCTGTCGGATCATGGTCCTCCAGCCCTGTGGGAGCACAAGACCCAGAGAAGGTGACGCCTTCGGGGTTTAGTTGGTGAGTGGCTGTGATCCCGAGCAGTCACATTTCTGGAGAGATGTTAAAGCTGCTGGACTCCATCCATGGACTGAAATGGATCCGGGAGAGCTGGTGGAGTGGGAAGGCTGGGAGCACAAGGGCTTGTGAGCCTCTCCGGGCTCCAGAGCTCTGCAGCATGGATGGGGGGCAGGAGCTGCCAGAGCAACACTAAAGGTTTGGACAAAGCCTCTTGTGACTTTTCCTGTCTTTTTCATCTCCCCACAGGGATCACGGCATGCTCTCCCCCCAGGAGAACACTAACTCCACCATGTCCCTTCCCCGGGTCAGCCCCTCACTGAACCCCAGCATCTCCCCGGGGCAAGGCATGGCCCTGCCACCCTCCATCCCTCCCTCCAACGGCAGCATGTTGGCCACCAACGTGAACCAGCAGCCGGGCGCCGGCCTCCACAACACCAACTCCAACACCAGCCAAAACAGCTTTGGATGTTCACCTGGGAACCAGATAGGAGCCAACGTTGCCTTAAGCCAGGGACAAGCTGGTCCCCAGAACAGTAACCACACTTTGAACCTCAGTAGCTCCCCCATGAATAGTCCAGGGATTCCCCCGCCGCAGTTCATGTCTCCGAGGCATCGGGTCAGCCCAGGGCTGGTGCCCAGGCCCAGAGTGCCCAGCAACCCCTTCTCGCCCACCATGCCCACCATGCACTCCCCCGTGGGCATGGCCAACAGCGGTGGTGGGGGCGGCGGGGGCACCAGACCCTTTCCCAATGCCCCCATAAACTCTCTGCAGGGCCTGACGGAAGGTCCCAGCACACCGGTGGGCTACTCCACGCCACCCCCGGTGCTGAGACAGCTCAGCTCGCAGAGCTCGCCCGGCCGCCTGGCCATGCAGCCCATGAAAACAGAGTCCAAGGACAGCAAAGAGATCGCCTCCATCCTGAGCGAGATGATCCAGTCGGACGGCGGTTCAGGGGACAGCAAACCGCTGGACTCGGGCATGCTGCACGCTGGTGACAGGCTCTCAGAGGGGGACAACAAATGTTCCCAAGCCACCAGCCACAAGCTGGTCCAGCTCCTGGCCACCACGGCGGAGCAGCAGCTTCGGCACGCCGACGCGGACACGAGCTGCAAAGATTCGTTAGCCTGCGCGGGCACCGCTGGGCCCTTGGCCTCCGGCAACCCTCCCAGCAGCACCTGCCCTTCCTCCCACAGCTCGCTGACCGAGCGGCACAAGATTTTGCATAGACTCCTTCAGGAGGGCAGCCCTTCCGACATTACCACCCTCGCCATGGAGCACGAGAAGAAGGAGAACGCCCCGAACCCCGCCACCACCCCCACTGCTCAGAGCCAGCTGCCAGGAACCCCGGACATCAAACTGGAGCCGGACGCGCTGAAGAAAAAAGATGTCAAGGATCACCAGCTCCTGCGTTATCTGCTGGACAAGGATGAGAAGGAGCTGGCTGCAGCCCCAGCACTGAGCCTGGATGATGTGAAGGTGAAGGTGGAGAAGACGGAGCAGATGGAGCCCTGCAACACAGCCCCCGTGCCGCTTGCCAAACCTCCCGCTGCGGAGGAGGTCAAGCTGGAGACGCAGGGCCAGGTGAGTTGACCCGTCTGAGTCCGTGCTGCTGGCATGCTCTCGGCAAGTTGTGTCGTGGGGGCGGTTTCCCCCAAACCTGCTGGTGCTTGCAAACCTGCAAGGCGGTGGGGCTGGGAGAGGTGTGGGGAGGTGTCCTGTGGCTGCTGCAACCATCTGCGCTGGTGCCCAATGCTGGTGCCACCTCCAGCACTGCTACCACCTTTTCCGGGGCTGGTGCCACCTTTCCCAGTGCTGGTGCCACCTCCTCCAGCACTGGTACCACCTTCCCCAGCACTGGTGCCACCTCCCACCTCCACCAGCACGGGTTCTGTCACCGTTTTGTCCATCCACGTCATGTTTTGGCAGCTCAGCTCTTCAGGGCAGCGTTGGGCAGGCAGAAACTTGACTGAGGTGTCTAAAACCAAGAAAGAAACGCGGCCCATGGCTGCAGGTGGTGGGCTGGAGAGAGGAGAGGACCACGCGCGTGTTGCCACGTGAAAAGGTTCTTCATTCTGCATCTCTGGGCACATTCAGGTCTGGCGTCCCGGGGAATTTTCAATCCATTGCCCTCTTGTTGGCTGAGATTAGCAATTATACAGGCCTTTTAGTTATCCTAAAAGTATTAAATTGAATAATCCAGTGACAGATCTCGGCAATAGAGATTTGGGTGTATAAATATTCATTACACGCAGCTATGAATAGAAGAGATTTCTTATTTTTGAAAGCCAGGGGAGATGGTAACATGGATAAAGCTGCTTAATCCTTTTTAAGCAAAGAGAAGAGAGCGGCTGACATGAAGAGCAGGGCTGATCGCCTGCTTACCGGCTGCGGCAAATAAGGCTGCCGGCGTTTGGAGATACGGGATGAATAACGGCGCTCGGAGAGCCTCGGATGACAAATGCACAATAAGTCTCTTAATAAGGTTAAGGGCTCAGTTGAGTTGGGAGTCGCTTATCCCGTAGGCGAGTGGGAATCGAATTCCTTATCTCTGTACCGTACTTCCCTGACGCCGTCGGCTCGCTGGATGCGACGTCCTCCCCCATCACCTCCCATCTGAGATCCATCGTCTAGATTAATGTCAGCTGCCTCGGGATTGGGAAGATCCAAGGCAAGACGTGCTTGTTCTGGAAAGCGCTTGGAGGTGGGATGAACTTGCCGTAGAGCCAGGTACCCACCGCGATGCTCCAGTGGAAGGCACGGCATCCTTGCGGGAGGTGCACGGGCTCTCGTACGGAGCCGCCATGACCTGTGACGCTGGAAGCGTGTTGGGGAGGGCCAAAATTCGGCAAAACTCCAGGGCAGGGGCAGAGCTTTGCTCGTGTGGTCTCCCAGACATCCCCGTGCAGGATTTGCTCGCTGGCGGGGGATGCAGGCAGGCCATGAGTGATGGTTCCAGGTACTCCATCCTCCGGAGAGGGCAGAAAGCCCTGTTAATTAAACGAGGCCGTGCTGGCTAATTGTGCTCTGCTCTCCAACAGGCGCGCAGGGCTTGGACGACTCGAGCCTGGGTGTTTACAAGCCCCTCTCCTGCACTGTTGGAAGCAGCCGAGCATTCTTTAGGCTCCTTGGTGGCTTTTCGGTTCCAAGTATCCCTTCCCAGGCAGCTGGAGAGCGTCAGGATTATACACTGGACCGTACCGAGTGCTTCCAAAGAGTTGATCAAAGAGGCTGGAGAGGGTTTGCGGAGTCTTAAAATGCGTTTTCTGAGGAGCGAACAGCCCTTCGCTGCTCAGCGGCTAAGGACGGGGTTTCAATTCCATGTGTTTTCTGGGAGAGGCTGCTTTGGTGCGGCCTGGGAAGGGGGAGCTGCCGTTTCACATCAAATCACTTGCAAAATTTTTGTTTTTCACGTGTGATTACTTTTAAGAATCAAAATGTCAATGAGGAGGGACATTAATGGCAGGGCAGGCTCTGCAGCTCGCCTTCAGCCTCGAAGGAATTAGTTCCTTTGCGTATTTATCCCATGGAAACACCCCGGGTTTGCTCGCAGCTGCCTGTTTGTGGGGTGAGAACGAAACATGTTTGGCTAGGGCTTGGGAAAGAGCTAATAGGAATTATAAGAGTTTAAAAGAAAGGAAAGAAAAAGAATAAGCAAGGTGTGGTAAGGGCTCTTCATCCTTGTGCTTCAAGGAATGAGCAGAACAACAAGTGACGAGGAAACTTTTCTCTGAGTTGCCTTAAATCTGCCCTCGAGCGGGATGCTGGGGAGCAGGCATGTGTGGAGGTAGAGGCCAAAGAGAAGGTGTGGATGCCCCATCCCTGGAAGTGTCCAAGGCCAGGCTGGATGAGGCTTGGAGCAACCTGGTCTAGTGGAAGGTGTCCCTGCCCATGGCAGGGGGTGGCACTGGGTGGGCTTTAAGGTCCCTTCACACCCAAACCATGCAGGGATTCCATAAAGTGTGAAGTTTTGCCTTCTTTTTCATGTACTTTTTGGTTTCTGAACCTGCTTTTTTTGCAAGCAGGGCAGAATCCTTTTCTCAAAAAGAAGGAAAAAAGAGGAGTGATGGCAGAGAGCCGTAGATTCTTACAGAAATAGCTGCTTCCAGGAGCCAGGGCTCCACAGAAAATTCAAATGATCTGAAGTTTGCAATAAAATCATGGGATTATTTAATTTGTGCAAGAACTGTGTTGGCCAAGTGGCTTTGGAGAAGCGCCTTTGCTCCACATGAAGGTGCAGCCAGGGATGCAGGTTGGCGGGGTGGGTACCACCTGGAAGCATCTCTGTCCTCGCTGAGCTGGTTTCACCGTGAGGCATCCTACGGGGTGGCTGGGCGGGGGATGAGAGCAGAGATGAGATGCTTTCCTCCGGTTTGCTTTTGGTTGGTGCTGGTTTTGGAACCTTGTTTCTGCTGGGAGACGGAGGTTTAGGGGAAAAGAAACTGTTCAGAAAAATCCTTCCCGGAGAGGGTGGGGAGCACTGGGACAGGTTGCCCAGTGAAGCTGTGGATGCCCCATCCCTGGGAGTGTCCAAGGCCAGGCTGGATGAGGCTTGGAGCAACCTGGTCTAGTGGAAGGTGTCCCTGCCCATGGCAGGGGGTGGCACTGGGTGGGCTTTAAGGTCCCTTCCCACCCAAACTGTTCAGTGATTCTCCGATTCAGCCACCCTGAGCTTCCATCCCCCTGACATGGGTTTTCTTGCCCATTTGGGGACAGAAATAGGTCCTGGAGGTCTGAGCCTTCTCCGAGCAAGACTGGATGGTCTGAACTGCTCCAGTGTGTTTTCTATACAAGGCGGAGAAATTAAATACCCATTAAAGTGGGTGCAGATTCCAGGTGCAAGTCGGGGTGCTCCAGAAAACAACTGAGAAGCAGCCTGCTCCTACCACGTGTCCTGCATTCCCACCTCTCCGTCTCCAGCCTCTTCAGTGACCCAGCGAGTGACACAGGAACTTCACTGCTCCCATTTCGTCTCCTCTTACCATCCGTTTGGGATGCCCACAGCTGCCTCTGTGCCCTTCTTCTCCCTCTGCCTCCAAAACCAATGGAGTCGAGGAGATCTTTTTCTGCTGTATCATGGATGTCTCCCGTTTGGTTCAGTTCTCTCCATTTTGCAAACTTCATAGAATCACAGAATCCCAGAATCCCAGCACGGTTTGGGTGGGAAGGGACCTTAAAGATCATCTACTTCCAACTTGAACTTGGTCGAGAAGTCACGTTATTTGGAAGAGTTGAGATGTGCAGCCAACTGCAGGAGTTGAATTTGCTGTGATCACTTCTTTCTGTGAGCCGGGGTTTAGGAGGATATTCTGCTTCTCAGGGCTCTGGAGCCAGGATTTGATGGAAAAGGATACGAGGGAAAAGAAAAGGGCTGGGTAGTCCATGATAAATTGTCACATTGATGCCTCCTGCTCGGGGTGCACTTGGGGGCGATTGGAATTGCCACCGGTTTGGAGGATCTTCTCTGGGAGATGAATTATTTCCAGCAAGGAGTTAGGGAGATGCTTCCTACGATTTCTCCTGGCAAGGGACAAAGCTGTCGCCCTGCAGAGAGGTCTTTAACGCGGCTCCGTGAGCCGCGGAAGTGCAGAGGCATCCCAGGGATGCCCGAAGCCAGCGGCCTCCCAGCTATTTATCACGGACAGGGGCTGTCGGCTGCCACCTCTTGTCAGAGCCAGGATCCCAATTCCTGCCAGATTTCTCCGGACCGGAGCTTCATTCCCTCTACCAAATACAAAGATTTTCTCTAACGCTATCAAGTTGTCTGTTAATTACCCCGTGTTAATGGCCAGGCTTTCCCTAACGCCGAGGGGGGCTATTCTGGAAGCCGCACGCATCCGTAGATTTTAAAGCATTTGGTTTCCCTCGAGATATTTTTCTTTTTAGCCAAAGCTCATTTATCTCAGCCCCTTTAATCCCAACCTGCTGCTTTACGGCGCCGCCGTTCCAGCCACTGGTGCAAATCCCTTTCCCAGTAACTTTCCCATTTATTTGAGTCCCGGGGCTAAACATCTTCCACTCGTAGCACGGATGAAGGCTGGAAAAGCTGAATGGTATTTTACTACCCCGTTGAGGGTAATTACTTGCCCGAGGCTGACGTTGGGTTTGGACACTTGTTCCAAAAAGTCACTTCTGTTTCTTAAAAAAGACCATTTTTGAATTACTATAATTTCAGCATAAGCATATGTATATTAACAAAGCAAATTATCTCCCGGTTTAAATAGCTGGAGGTTGCATATACCATTAATAATCACGCTAATTGCAGCGTGTGAGCATCTCAAAGCTGCCGCTGAGGCCCGCGCCCCGGGGTGGGGACCCCTGCGCAGGGAGGGGGCAGTCCTTGTCCCCCCAGGGTCTGCATCTGGCCGGGCAGAGGGATGCGGGGCTGGTTCCCTACCCACGCGAGCGGCTCGGTGTTTTGGCAAGCGAAGGGCTGGGGGGAGCAGTGCTGGGGGTCCGCGTGCGTGTGAGACCAGCGCCGT